TTGGGGGTACGTCGATATCGATGAACTCGACTCTTTTCTTCTTACCGAAGGGAGGTGGACCTATAAGAGCTTCCACTTGTTCGTACGTAAGGGTTTCCTGTTTGAGAAGAGCTTGTGCCATCACTTCAAGTTTATCGAGATTATCCTTCAGTAACTGCTCAGTCTGTTTGTAGGCTCTAGCCACAATGAGTCGCGCCTCAGCATCCATCAAGTTCCCCATTTTCTTGCTGTACGGTTTCTTCGTATCATTCCCAGTCTCCTCTTCACTGAACGATACAAGCCCCACCTCCTCACCCATACCGAACTGTCTCACCTGGGCATAGGCCATTTTCGTGACTTTCTCCAGGTCATTCTGAGCCCCAGTAGTAACTCTATCAAAGATTATATTCTCAGCAGCACGTCCCCCAAGAGCTGTGCACATCATTTCAAAGATCTGCTCCTTGCTGAAATTTCTTCGTTCAGTGGGAGTGTATTGGGCGAATCCCAGCATTCCTCTGGTTCTTGGTTTGATGGTGACTTTGAGAAGGGCATCAGTCTCCTTCAACAACCAGGCGACTAATGCATGACCAGACTCGTGGTATGCCACAATTTTTTTCTCAGTGGGTGACACCCCGTGATCCTTTTTCTCAGGTCCACACAGAACTCGATCAATGGCGTACGAGAGATCATCAGCATCGACAACTTTCTTTTTGAACCTGGCAGCATGAAGAGCGGCTTCATTACAGATATTAGCAATATCTGCTCCACTCATGCCTGGTGTCAGCTGAGCTAGTCTTGGTGAATAATGTTCAGGCTTTTTCTCGAGGACAATGCTCTTGAGGTGTCGTTCAAAAATGTCCTTCCTCTCGGCAAGTGTTGGGAGATCAATGAGGATGTGTCTGTCAAATCTACCAGGACGGAGGAGGGCCTTGTCGAGAACTTCAGCACGATTCGTCGAGGCCAGAACAATCACTCCATCCTTCGTTGCCATACCATCCATCTCAACAAGCAGTTGATTAAGCGTTTGCTCGGATTCTCGATTCGTTCCGCCGATGGAGGAGCCCGATCCCGACCGTTTCTTTCCAATTGCGTCAATTTCATCGATATAAAGGATACTTGGGGACCTTTTGCGGGCCTCCTTGAAGAGATCCCGCACTCTGGCAGCACCCAAACCACCGATCATCTCTATGAACTCTGAACCATTCATCGAGAGAAAAGGAACGTTGGCTTCCGTTGCCACAGCCTTAGCTAGCATCGTTTTTCCACAGCCTGGAGGACCCAGGAGGAGAGCACCTTTTGGCACCTTAGCACCGAGGGTTTTGTAGAATTCCGGCCTCTTCAAGTAATCCACGAACTCCATCACCTCGATTTTGGCCTCTTTGAGACCGGCGACATCAGCAAATCGTACGTTTTTGGTTCCTCCCACTAATGGATCTACTAGAGTAAATTTGGCTCTTGTCATTCCACTAAAGAAATCCTTCGGGAACACTCCCATTTTTCCTCCAGTTTTACTCATGAATGCTAGCATGTAGGCCATCACGGCTAAAATAAGGACCAGACTGTACAAGTTATTGCTGCTTCTCTCGTAGACTATAGATACACCGTGACCTTCTTTTATTCCCAAGGCTTTTTCAGCCTCTCTCAGCTTCTCCTCGAGATGAGTTGCGTCTGCGACGATCATCTGGTAAACTCGACTCTCCGCTGGACGACGATTTATTATTGCTCCATCATGAAGAACAATCGTAACCCAATCCATATCTGGTTTTACAATGAGCTCTTGGACTTCACCTTTTGCCAGCATTTGATGGACAAATTCGTTCCAGGAGATGAAGGGCGATGTCTATGACAGACAATATTGAAATTAATTTCAATATTTGCGAGAAATTGATGGAACGTACCTCGATCCTGTCGGCGAGTTTAGTCATAGGATAAATAAAAACTCCGTAAACAAATAGCGAGAGTAACAAAAGTTTGAACAAAGCCGTTTTCTGCTCGTTTTCATTCCCCGAGTCCTTTCCGGACTCTGAAGGGCCTTTTGAAGGCCCTGGGGATGTTTTCCTCGTGTTACTTGAGGAAGACGTCATCAATAACCTGGAGAGAGCTGGAGGAATTCTCGAGGACTGGAAGCCACTGTTGGTGAGTAAAATACGGAGGGTTTTGTACTCCCGACATATTCTGTTATACGTCTGAAAAAAAAACGACATGGATAATATATTTTTTCTGCAAAACTCCAGAGATAGGAGCACTCACATGATAGGATACGCGAGGGAAAAATCTAGAATTATCAGGACGACTCCAAAGTTTAAATATCCTCTCCTCTCTTATGTCACGTTTTATTATTCCCCGCAATAATCCCCGACACAGGAATAAGTTCCGACTCGCCGGGTATTTTGGCAGATTCTGCATTGTATCTTTTTTTACAATAAATAATAAACAAACTACAGGTTACAAACCGGTCAGTCGAACCATCACTCCAAAATAAACCCTCACTGCAGCATTCAACTCGAATTAACAGATTTTGTTCATATATTTCTTAAAAATATCCATTAATGTCACGGACATTAATAAGTTACACATGATAACGTAAGAATAATTTGTGCCAATAACTGACGAAATTTGCACAGAACATACGTCGAAACGAACTGCGAGTACACCTAATCGAAGAAGATTGACTAAAGGAGAGGCTCAGGTCTAAGGGTTTGAGTGATCCCACCGGAATTGTAGTACCTCCACCCAAGAGAGAGAGGGCGCCATACGCAATTTTGAATTTTCGCATTTCCGAGAATACCTCCTCGATTCTCATGCTCCCCCGATTTTTCTAAAATCGCAATTATCTCGCTTCCTATCGGTCCTAGCGCGAAAATAATGCATCCTAGGAACTGTACCTAGCCCAAAACCAACGTTCAACAAGAATTTCCAAAAAAAA